AATACCGAATATTAAAATCTTTTTTTTTTTTTTTTTTTTACAGTGTAGCAATGAATTATTAACCCATTTAACACATTAGAATCAATTATCTGGATCAAATATTTCATTTTATTCAATAAACATTTAAATGTTAGAATTATTTGCACTGAAGAGTCCAAAGGGTCTCCTGACACTGATATAAAAATCACACACGGTCATGGGTTACAGGGAATTAAAGAGCAATAAAGCTGACGAAATAGAAAGTTCTGGCATCTTTGATCACCTTCACGGAGTTGTTTACGGCACATCTAAACGAATCTTCCAAGCACCTATAGATAAAAATCACACATCGTCATTAAAACAGTTTGTTTGACATCATCAACACGACAAATATCCAGAATCACTGCATCTTAATTCCGTCATTAAAGCTCCTCTCTGTTCTTATAATGGCACGATAAGGCATTTCAAGTTGGTACAATCGACATCAAGCCTTTGAAATACAACATTAGCCCTTTAACACTGACACACATGAAGAAAATCATCTCTGATGGAGTGTTTGTTCATCATAATGATATTGGTGGGTCTTTATTTCCATAACGGATGATTGTTGTGAAAGCGTCACAGAATCCAATGACGGGCTTACAGTGACTCAAACTAACTTTAAAGATTCATGCGTGAGTTATGACAGAGTTAAAGGAGTAATTCACACAAAAATACTTATGAAAACATTAAAGGAGGAATTCACTGATTGCACTGATTTTAATAAAAATGGTCTGTAGAAATGCAAAAAAATGTATAAAATTTGTAACACTTTCTATTTATAATACATTATAAGAGTATTCTTGAGGCATTATAATGAATGCATATGTTGTATCATCTCATGAGTAATCATTACAACCGTTTTAATGCATTATAATATGTATTTATTTGTGGTTATAGCTTTTAAGTCATGATTTATAACACAATGAACACAATGCATCCACTTAACTTACAATGGATTATATTTCCCATCGTTATAATGTATTATAAGTCTCATATCTTGCTATTGTTAACTTGTTACTTTACGTAAAGCAGACAAAGACCACTTATAAACAATAATAATAAAAATAATATTTTTCTTAAACAGCCGTAAGATCAGATATCTGATCAGATGAATGTGTAATATGGCACATTTGCTTTTAACCATATTTATTGTAATATCAGTAATATAATAAGATACTGTACAGATCTTAAATACATAATGTCAAGATATGAGATTTATAATCCATTATAAGTTAAGTGGATTTAACGTGGTGTTTATTGCGTGTTATAAATAATCATACTCATAAAAGTTATAACCACAAATAAGTGAGTTTTATAATGTATTATAATTGATCGAGATGAAACAACATACTGTATACGTTTTTTTATAATGCATTCATTATAATGCCTTAAGAATACCCTTATAATGTGTTATAAATATGAGCTTCATAGAAAGGGTTACCCAACATATTTTTGTGCTACATGACTAGAGATAGAGCTGTCAAAAATCAGAGGAGTGACATAAAATAACTCGTTTTGCATCATCTGACAGACTAATAAACGATCTGACTGCTGGTGCACGTTATTAATAATACAAAGCTGGTTTACAATCAGCGAATTTATCCTTTAAATCATTCCCTCCTCGAATATCATAAAGATTTGTGACCCTGGATCACAAAAGCAGTGTTAAGTCGCTGGGGTATATTTGTAGCAATAGCCAACAATACATTGTATGGGTCAAAATTATACATTTTTCTTTTATGCCAAAAATCATTAGGATATTAAGTAAAGATCATGTTCCATGAAGATATTTTGTAAATTTCCTACCGTAAATATATCAAAACTTAATTTTTGATTAGTAATATGCATTGCTAAGAACTTCATTTGGACAACTTTAAAGATGATTTTCTCAATATTTAGATTTTTTTGCACCCTCAGATTCCAGATTTTCAAATATTGTCCTATCCTAACAAACCATACATCAATGGAAAGCTTATTTACTGAAGACAAGTAAACAGTCATGAATCACAATAGAGCAAAGAAATTGACCTTCAAACACTTAAAGCACTGAATAAGAAATATTACATCGTATAAAATAAATAGACTACAGATAGACTGAATAGTGTTCACTGCATAAATTCAATATACATTATTTTACAAATGGATTCGGTCAAGGACAGTGAGTGATTTTCTTTCTAATGTTTCATTTACATTATTGACACAAACAGCAGCAGTAGCTATATTAGGCTGCTTTGGAGGAATAGTTCACCCAAAAATGAAAGTTATGTTGTTGTTGTTGTTCTAAACCTGAATGAGTTTCCTTCTGCTGTTGAATGCAAACACTTATATTTGGAACAATGGTAACAGTTTCTGTTTCCCCATGACTTCCATAGTATGAAAAAAACAACACTATTGGAGTCAACAGGGACCAGAAACATTCTGGTGGTTACGAATATTCTTCAAAATATCTTCTTTTATGTTGAGGAGAACAAAGAAATTCATACAGGATCAGAACAACTTGAAACTGAGTAAATGATGACACTATTTACATTTTTGGGTGAACTATATCCCTTTAAAATCTCATCATATAATGCCAGGATCTCATAATAGCCAACTAGTGCACATGCTTTATCTTTAGCTATTAACGTTCATTTAAAACACAAAGGACTGTGCTGACGAGGAGACAGGCATTTTGACACATAACTATGTGTATTCGAACGTTTAAACACAAGGCGCAAAAAATAACTCTCAGTTTAGTCAGGCGCTGTACGAGCAAGTGCGCTCGCATTTGCCAAAATGAATTCTGCCCCACTACTTAATGTCCCTGAACCGATAAAGTCCCCATGAAATCAAAGTTAAAGTTTTTTGGGTGTTAGTATCAATATGTTAGTCTTAAGGTTATCTATAAGGCAGTGTGCTCCAAAACAGTGACAACATTCGCATTTAGAAGATATAAGCATTCAAAGCTTGCAGTTCGTCACTTCCGCCAAAACGGCTCAACGATTTTTTTGAC